AATATGTATGTTTTTCTGCAATATATTTTCCTTACTTTCTATATTGTACCTCTCAGGAAAATCCAATAGCATACTATAATTATAGTTTATAAAAGGTGCTCATGCTTTCAATTTCCTTGCTGCAGGTTTAAAACATTTAAAAATAGAATGTTATGTGCTTAGCGAAGGTTTGATTTATAAAGTCAAATGTTCCAGACAAAATGATATCAAAGGAAACATTTGCAGGAGAAGGATTTGATGATTCCATGCCCAAGATTAAGTGGCAGGCAACATACCCTTCTGCATTAAGAAATGTCAGCAAAATGGTTTTTCGACTGCAAAATGGGGAGAAGTCTCCATATGTTCTACTTAAGGCTCTGTAATATAATTGAGTCCATTTTAATTCAATATTTATGTAATCTGAGTAACAGTTTTGTATGAAACTTTAAAAAATGAAATATTTGTTTTAGCATCTTAAGATAAACAGGATGTAAGAATGATATGTATTACTTAATGATGTCTATTATATATAAGTGTGTGGCGTGTCTGTGTTTGTGTGGGGATGTGGGCTTCCCTTGCTTTATTCTAGAGTTATATTTCCTGAAAACTTCACATAAAGCAAAGTTTAAAGTTGCAATCATGTGAGGTCTTGCTGAATGACCTGCAAAGTCCTCATTTAATGATGGCTACTGATACTGCTGGAACTGCCATTGCTAAGTAGCACTCATGTGGGTTTTGTCCTCTGGCCGTGTCATTCAACAATAGTTTCTGGTCCCAATTAGTATCATTAAAAAAGGACTACCTGTATTTTAGAAGTAGATGGTAGATATATAGACAATATAACTGGAGAAATATGAAAATAAAGTTATGGTTGCTTAGGTAATGCCTCTGTGACTTGTTTTACTTGTGTCTAAACACTTGATAGTTGAAATAATGTTATTATTATGCCTACATGAGTTGCAAAAAATGGACAAGAGACTATAAAAAAGAGGCAGGGATTTGATTTCATAGGCTCTGCCATTTTAAATTCTGATAATCCCTAACCGATGCTCTTGACAGTAGGCTTCATATTGTGTGATGTTTATCTTTCACAATTGCACATTAGATCAAATGAACTGCTTACCTGACAAGTCCATATTGATGTAACAAGAAAGCCATCATCTCGGAACACATTGAAAATGTCAATGATTCCACGGGAATAACCAAAGATAGCAATACTGCCATCAGACACAGCCAGATTAAATGTCAAATAATCCGTAGGTTGAAGAACAGCTCGTTGTTTATATAATACAAAAATTACAATGCTATTCCCAATCCAAGACATCCAACCTGGAATATAAAATTAAATAAAATATTTGAAATTGCATTCATATAAACCAAGGCAAATTCTGATTCAGGGACTACTTGAAGAATTTCCTATTTGGGTGCTATTTGTATAATTACTTCTCCCCAAAATGTATATTGCACTTGCTCTAAAGGAAAGTTTAAGTTCATATCAAAAGAATATGAAGAGTAGTAACAGAATAACAGAGTTGAAAAGGACCTTGGAGATTTTCTAGTCCAACCCGATGGTCAAGCAGGAGATCTTATGCCATTTCAGACAATTGGCTGTCTAGTCTCTTCTTAAAAGCTTCCAGTGCAAAAGATTGTAAAAGATTATATGCCTTCTCTTCTTGAACATTTTGTAATACTTTAAAAGGAACATCAATCAAAATACCTCTTTTAGATTATTAGGCCTCTCATACCTGGGAGCAGAAGACAGAAATATTGGGCTCACCAAAGTTAACTGACGGATAGCATTTTGCACTATTATGTTTCTCTTTATGGAAGTGCTAACTACATAACCGAATAAAATAATAAAAAGAAATAAATAGACAACTTATGCAACAATTTGAATATAATGATAAATACAAAGCATATATTTACAAAAATAATAAAATAATACATGTAAAATATAAAATATATTTTATTTATAAAATATATACAATATACGGTATTTTATAAATATAAATGGCTAAAATAGAAAATTATAGACATATTACAACTCTAAATGATTAAAATGTTGACATACTCAAGTATTGAAATGCAGATTTTTCTACTAGACACACACACACACACACACACACAATATATATATACACACACACACACACACACTATATATATATATATACACACACATACCCACACATATAGAGGTAGGGCTCTGCTATAATATAATATTATATATATAAATATAATTATAACAAACACCATTATGTGTTAATTAATTTTAATGTTAATAATTTTTAATGTTTAATGTTAATTAATTTTGTGTTAATAATTAATTTATATATATAATTTTAACACAAAATTATTTTTCACCAAGTCAGAGAGAAACACCATAATGGTAGAGGTGAAATCAACAAAAACCATGAACAGAAAGTGGGCCTCTTGCTCATTATGTAGGCCGAGTAAGAGGATCAAAATATTTACAGACTGATTCTGTAAATATCCAGAGTGGGACAATTGGCCCCAGCCACTTGAGCCTGCCTGCTTCATCTGACCAACACTCCGACTCCAGCCAACCCAATGTGGCCATCCCTCCCCTATCACTCTTTCCCTGCCACTCCACATGCTCTTAAAACACAGCAGTGATTGGAACTCTTTGGTAATAGTTGCCTAGACTTTCTTCAATGGATACTTCCTTATAGGAGCTTTCTGAGCTTGCCTGATTGGTTCCAGTTCTGTCTGTCAGTTGAAGCCAGGCAAAATTAATTCTTCTTACCATCTGCTTCTATCTGTGCAACACAGCAAAAACAGCTGGAGTTTTGAATACATGGCCCAGCAGTCAACTTCATCAGTTTCTAGTCAAATTTACCTGAATAGCATACTGGATTGATAATCTTGTCTTCCTCTCCCACCTGTCCAAATTCTTGTTTACTTTAAGCTAAACATATATTATCGTTCTGCTCTCCTAACAACTGCATAAGAAAAAAGAATGGACTCCTATTCTTTAATGTAGTGGTCTATTTTAAACTTTTCCTATAGGTTTCATTTCATAAAGCAAAGAAACATCATAACCATACATACCCAAAGCAAGCAGATAAAAGCCAATTATAGTTTCTCCTTGTTCAGAGATTGGGTGGTCTTTGTTTAAAAAAGTAAGATTGTTGTTTCTCCAGGGTGCCTGACCAGAAATCTGAAAAGACATCTTCAGGTTTCCCAGAACCCAGAACTTGCTGTTTCCCACCACTCCAGGATAAGCGACACAGAAGGAAGCTGAGCTTTATCTATTTCAAACCTCCGCTCTATATTCTTCAGAGACGAGACTGGAGACTGGTAGCAAAGGGGAAGCTAAGGCGAAGAGTAGGAGCTTTGCTGTCTGCTGCATGTGCTAATCCTATCTATTAATACCCAGGAATCACCAAGCTGTGCTAGACAAAGACATAAGAGTTTTTATTCATTACCTGAGGCTGTTACATGTCAACACCCTTTTAGTGTGCAAACAGTGTGCCTATACTTTACAAAATGACTGTGTAAGAAAAAAAAACCCTCAATGCTTATCTCATGGACTAATCAATATCCCCAAATTTGGCCAGAAAGCACAACATTCTTCTTCCTTTGTTGAAAAAGAAAACTTTAATTTAATGGCTAATAAATCATATATATATATANGGTTCGATTCGGACTTATTGGACCTCCATCGGTGGTTTGAAGCTTGGTTTTCCCTGAAAATTGCAAAGTTTGTTTGCAGGTAACTCACTTCTAGAACTAATCAAGTTTCATATTATATTCATATTATATAATCTTAATATTTAATATTAGACTAATATTATTTCAGCATCTTCTGAATAAATAGAATGGTGCCAATCATTTGGCTGTGAGAGCACATTTGCTGTTCTCAAGCATGTTGGCCATCTTCAAAGAATTGTCGCCTTGATAGATAAAGCTAAGCAACATTTCCATACTAGAATGCAAAAATCCTGTATCACTCTTGCTTTCTCTTTTTCTGAAATAGATGGATTCCAAAACAAAACAATGGAATACAGCCCCCTTTCATTTTTATGTATCCAAATTGCTACCAGAATGCACGTGGGGCCTGGCAATATTTTTTGGAAAGACAGTTGATGCTTGAAGCAGGTGCTCTACTACAGCACACTAGCTTCACTCTTTTTTAATTGAAAGAATTTGAAGATAAAAAAAGAACAGTTTTATCGGTTCCTTCAGCACCACAGACCTTCCCTTCAAAATAAATAAGAAATCCTGCAACAAAGAAGATTGATTCCTAAAACCAGCGACTCTGAAGTGTCACCGACTTAGTCCAAAGAATGTTGTTTTAACAGGGATTAAATACGAGGGATACAAACTTTGCCTTAGGTTCAGCAGTTTGTCTCTAAAACGGTACTGCAGTGATTTCCACGCAAGCCCTCAGACAACGCGCAGGACTTGGAAAAGAGCCGGGCCTTTCCCACAGGGAAACGGCGACAGCCAGCATCTCAGGAAGAGGGGAAGAGACGGAGCTTTGGCTAGACCCGCTTGCCATCCTTCCAGCCGCCGAAAGGAGAAGCTGCGAGGGCATCCCTTCCATCGCGCGACGCCTTCCTCTCCCCAGCTGTTAATCACCGCCCCCCGGGCACAGACGCCCCGGCAGCTTTGTTGTTGTTGTGGCGGCGGCGACTGCCTCCAGAACCCCATTGCCGGGCACCCTCTACCGGCGCGGCAGCAGTCACGGCCGCATCCTGGCTGGGCTGAGGGTGGGGGAGGAGGAGGAGTGGGAGGGGACAGGCCGCCGCCAAGCGGCAGAGACCTCACAGACACGTCAAGCTCGCAGCGCCGTCAGCCGCCACACGGGACCGGGGCAAAGCCGGAGGGTGTGTGTGTGGAGGGGGTGGTGGAAGGGGGGACACTGTCTTTCTGCTGTGTCGCCCAGCAACTGGAAGCGGCTTCTTGTAGCGAGCGAGAGAGGCGGCCCGGCTTCTCCATCTTCTCGCTGGGCAGGGCTGGGCTGGGCTGGGCCCCGGCGCGGGGTGGGGGGGGGTGGGCGTCGGCGGCAGCCAAGCACAAGGATGCTTGCAAAGTGAACACCTCCCGTTCGAGAAAAGGGTGGCGCGGCAACCCAGATGCAAAGCCCAGGAGGCGACCTGGACGGCGGTGCCCCCTCCGCGGCCGCCGCCGCCTCCTCCTCCCCCTCTTCTTCCACCCCCTCGCCAATGGCGCCGGGAGGAGTCGGAGAGGGCAATGGCCGTGGCCGGGCCCCGGATGGCGTCCCCAGCATGAACCCACGGCGGCCTCAGGAACTGCTGGAGGAGGTGGAGAAACTGCGGGAGGAGAACGACACCCTCAAGGTGAACGGGGGTGGCAGGTGGTGGGTGGTGGGTGGGGGAAGAAAGGTGTGGCACAGGCTGAATTGAGGATGGGGGATCTTTTATTCTCCAAACAAGAACCCATATTGCATTACAGGCGAGCAATTGAGCAAATAGGGCCCTTCGTCCATCTGTTTTCCTAGCTGCGTTTGGTGGTGGTGGGGGAGTATTAATGTTGCTTGCCCTACCTCACATCACGTATTGCCCAGGAATATCATCGGTCAAAACTCTCCTTTCTGTTTTCTAGAGGTGAGGCTTCTACCCTTCCCTTTCCCCCAATTTGTTAATAGATGTTGAAGTGTGGCCTGGACCATTTCAGATATGATAAATAAGATGTTTTAAAGCTATGGGTTTTTTCCCTGGGCCTTATCCATTTGCATGGAATCATTGTGGTCCTTTATATGGCAGGCCACAATGGATAGGCCCAGATGGCATTCCAAACCAACTTAAACAAAGCATTTTAAGATTTACAGGAGTGTGATAGCCCAACCTGTGATTTTCTGTAGGTAATTTTTACGGTGGAAAAAGACACATTGTTTGTGCAGTTGTGCTTCTCTGGTCCATGCGTCTCAATTACTGCGTACATTTTGTAAAATGATTAATGATTGATATGTTGAGAAACGATCTTGTTCTAGCATGTTAAAAAGAATACTGAATAAAATATAATTTTATTTTATTTTTCAGAACATAATACTTTTTTACACCACAGTTTATTTCTACTGCAGAAAAAATAATAGGTTTAAAAGATCTGTTTAAAAATCAAACTATACTGTACGATTATTGATAACATTGCTTACCATCATTCATTTTTAAGTTCTGATATTGTGTTGTGGATTTGAAATATCTATAGTACCCTCATATAGATAAACTGACACATACTTTGGACTTCAGATGCCAAGATTGGATAATTAATACCTACTATGATTTTATTGTAGATTAATGATACGGGTGTCAAAGCATGGTAATACTCATTCAGTATGCACAAGGGATTAACTGATATATTGGTGTAATCTTAAATCTCAATTTCCTTGAAAAAATGCATATAATGCCTATAAATTATCTTAAATCTCATTTTTCTTTTTTAAAAAAACTATACGAAGTACCATTGTATAATGTGTTTCTACCTCTTCTCATTGGATGCCAGAATGAGATAGATGAGATGAGAACTGAGATGGATGAGATGAGGGACAGCTTTTTTGAAGAGGATGCATGCCAGCTACAGGAAATGCGTCATGAATTGGAGAGGGCTAACAAAAATTGTAGGATTCTACAGTATCGTCTTCGGAAGGCAGAGCGCAAAAGGCTTCGTTATGCACAAACTGGAGAGATTGATGGAGAACTTCTTCGTAGTTTGGAGCAGGATCTGAAGGTACTTCTGGGTTCGAAGTTGGCAAAGTGATAGAACATTAATGAGATCTTTCCTAAAAAAAACTAAATGCAAAATGTCTGTTTTTAGATTATTCTTGTTTGTATATTTATCCTTTTCCAGTAATTGGAGAGTGAGTCCCCAGGTATTCTGAGCTCCATTGCTTTTACAGTTGTTCTCAAGATCCTTTGTATGATATGAGCCACAATCCTTATTTAAAGGAGTGACTTTATATGGAAATGAAACCTTTTTGAACTTTTTGGGACACACATATATTCCTTCTAATCTAAATATATGAAAAAGTAGATAATATACTACAAATGCTTTAACACAATAGGAAAATATAAATGTGATTAATTGATCAAAATATCAAGGACATAGATCTATTACTTGATACAAGTAAAACAGATTTTCCCGTTTCCTTACCAGATTTGCATCTAAACTTTATCTTTAGAATATTTATAAAAATGAGGTATATAGTTATAATTTTATGATCTTTTTGTAGTAAGGCTGTCAGACAATTAAATTATTTTTATTTTTATTGCTAGCATTTTATTGACAGCTTTTTGAAAAGCAAATGAATCACAGTTGCATCTTTCTGGCAAATAAAAGCTTCATGATTGCTTCCAACACTTCTTTTTTTGTATTTGATATAGAAGAACTAGATCAAAAAAGCATTCTCATGCATACCTGTGTAGAAATCAGTGCTCTTGTAAGTGATGCTTATATCTGACCAGATGGGAATTTAAGCCTCATAGTTTTTAAAGTTTAAATTTGCTCACGGGATGCTAATAGATAAATAACTAATACAGAATAACTAACACAAAGTCACCCTGAGAGTAAGATAGGCAGTATCTTACAAATAAATTTGACAAATAGCATACAGTAATGTGATGATTCCAATTGAAGAAAATTATCTATAGTTATCTATATCTATAGTTCGGGATTGAAATGTGGTATTCCCGGTGCTCTTTGAGCTTGGTTGTTTTATTGAAGAAGTTTTATTACCCATCCAGGTAACATCAATACCTTGCATAAATCAGTTCTAGAGAATACAACATTTATCTTTATGGTAGAGTGAGAAGGCCTAGATAAATAAAACAGTTTACCTAGATACTTTCACTTTACAACATGGCATATTTCTTTGTTTGTACTTGAATATAGTTGAATCTGAGCTATGTTGTATTATTTTGAAAAAAATATTAGAATAAAATTATGTATTTTTTTTTAATGAATTGGTATAGTAATTGGTATAGACCTAAATCAGGAAACAGCCTGTTAAATTTTGAAGAGGGTATCAAGTTGTACAGTTACAAATAGCAATAACACTTAGACATATACCGCTTCACAGCCCTCTCTAAGCGGTCAGCATATTGCCCCCAACAATCTGGGTCCTCATTTTNCACACACACACACACACACACACTTTTTTGCCCAGTACCTCAAACCATGTGGTCCTATCCACCATTAAACTATCTTTCCAAGCAGTCTCCATGTTTCCAGTGTCTTTCTTCCCACTTGGAACGGAACCCAGATGGACACTTATTCCAACACTACTTGTATATCCATCTAATAGATGTTTGTAATAAAGGAAGAGAAATTCCATATCCAAAATGTTCGCACATGAAAGAAACACAGAAAAATAAAAGGCAAACCATGTAACATTAAAATATATACAGTGTATAAGATACAAAAGATAAAATGGTGACCAAGCATTGTAACAAAACAACTAGAAAGGGATTCCTCTCAATTGAACCTTAATGTATGGGGGCGAAACTCAGATCTAAGTACTAGCATTTTATGCCTCCTACAAGCAATAATTGCTTTCTTTTACATTTTATCCTTCATTTAACACAACTGCTATCACTGAAAAGAAGAAAAGTGAATGAAGGAGATATAGTTGGTTAGTTTGGAACTGGTCTTTGATATTCATAGCCAATATTTTGCATTAAATAACTGCTCAAGATGTAGAATAAAAATGACCTTTACTTGGTTATTCATAGAAAATTTATATTAGTTTTTTACCTGCAATATATGTGGCACATGTTCATTTGGTGTGACACCTGATATCAGTCATTGCCATGTTATATCTCCATTTATGATCTGGAACTTTTAGAAATAATGTTATGACTTGAGATACCTGTCGTGATTTAAATATTAACTTTGCAATATTGTAAACCATACCCAAAAGAGTGGTTTAAAAAATGTTGCACCATTCCTATATCACTCAGAAGTCAATTACATACCAGAATGCAGGTTCAGAAAAGAAGACATGGAAATAAATCTTTAAAACTCTTCATGCTTATCTCATGGAGCAGTAGACTAGCTGGCTAAAGTAATGGAAGCTGAAATACAATATATCTAGGGTACACCGGGTTTGGGAAAACTTAATATTTACAATTCTGAAAGCTAGGCAGGATTGATGCTCATGACATCCACTTTCTCTTCAGGTTAACAGAATAGATATCAGATGGCAATTTTTGAGAAATTGAATTGATGGTGATCCTGGATTTTTTTATGACACTATTAAAGGAATAGCTGATAAAAAGTGGGCGTTTGGGCCATAAGGCAAAAAATAGAAAAATGAATTGCACTGCATATACTTTCATCCCATGAACAATTCCAAAGAAATATAAAAAAGAAATATTTTGTGCAGAACTTGCCTTCTGACATATTACTCCAACTCATACTTTCTTAGCATCTGCTTTTCTGCCAATATAGGATAACTTTTTATAATCAAACTAATAATATGTTCTTTATATGAGAGAGCAAATACTTTTGCTTATAATAGCATTTCACAAAGAAACATAGAAGCAGGCAGTAATTAGTGAATGCTGAAGTTAAATTTAACTTTAAGAAGTTAAATCACTCTATGTGAAAAAGTGTGCATTCAGATTTGGATATATATTGCTGGCAATCATACAGACCTCTAAGGAAAATAGCTCTCCTCTCTGACTTTAGTAGGTTATTGGAGGTTGAAGGCAATGTATATGAACAGTTTCCCACATGCCTCTAGGAAGAAACACTGCTGACAAGTTTGTGCATGGTAAGAAGAGATTATGGAAATGTTGTATTTCAGACTTCTTTGAGCTCACTATTTGTATATTTCTGCATCACCTGTCACTTGCTGTATAAATATAAAATATGCATTTGCCTCTTTGTAGATAAACATTAGTAAATCGAAATGCAAGTAACTGGGTCAGGGACAAAAAAGATAAGACAGCAGCTACAAACATGATTAAAGTTCCACTCCCTTTTAATATGCATCCTATGTGCTATGCATGTAAAAAATGTATGTTTTTGAGTGAACAGTTGTGACTATCTCTTTGTGACATTTTTGACCCTTCCCATCCCCTCATTTTCTGGAACATTGTTTCCTTTTAGGAAGTCCTTTTTGTCTGTAAAGGGGGACTTCAAACTATATTATGAGAGCCCTAATTTATTTTCAGGAGATATTTTCATTCTTATTTTTTTAAAAAAAAATATTTTTAAATTATATATCTATATATCTATATATCTATATATCTATATATCTATATATCTATATATCTATATATCTATATATCTATATATCTATATATCTATATATCTANGCATCACAGTTACAGTCCAATCATAATTCTCTCAAGTGTCAGGTGTGAGATAACTTCAAAAGGCATCACGAGGATGGAATGTTGGTGCCGTTAGTCCTGGCGGGAATCTCCCACGCATGCGTAGTCCGTTAGGCAGCTGAACTCCAGAACCTTCCTCCAGCACAATGAGTAACCCCACCCAAATACCATGCCCACCCTCCCCGTTTCATGGCAGCGAAGCAATAGCGAAGCAGAGGCTGACAGGTAGGAATTTATGACATCTCCTATTCCTACCCTCAGCAAACAGCTAAAACAGTCTCTGCTTTGGTTTTTGGGCTGCAGATCAAAAGTAGATTTTTCCATCTTGGGCTACCTACAAGCCATGCTGACTGGTTACCATCTTGTACTATACCAGGAATTTCTTGAGTCCTTATGTACAATTGTCTAATATAGACTCTGGTAGGAATATCCTCTTTGTCTAGAACTTTGTCACTTTTGGTTCTTTTGCTTCAGGAAAAAGAGAAAAATTGTGCAGGTTTCTTTCTCTTTCTATTGATCCAGGAAGGGGGAAGAAGTGGAGGAATCTACCAATTAGCATGACAAAAATGGTCGGGACACAAATCCAGGGATCCCAGCAGCTAAAACAAAGGAAAGGGTTGAAATATGGAAAGAGATGTCTTAAAGCGGCCTTATCTCCAGCCAGATTATGCAAGAGATAAGCATCTGCAATATAGAGATGCTGCCACTCTAGCTACTTACTCAGTGAACAACTAAAGCATCCCTCAGATTATTTGAATATAGTCTGTGAAAGGAGCTCATCATATCCCTTGATAAATATCCATTATTCACATATTAGAAGTTTTTGATAAATGTCCAATCTGAAACTTAATCCATATAATGTTAGATTATTAATTTATATCCTGCATCCTGGGGCAATAAAAAATTGTTGTTGGCATTCTGTGTAATAATCTGTAGGGTACTTGAAGGGTATCATCTCAATCATTTTTCTCAAGTGTAAAAACTGAGGTCTTCTTTACTCTTTCTTTGTAAGACTTAAGTTCAAATAATTTTTCTTTCTTTCTCTGAACTTATAACAGTTTCTTTGAATTTTTTTTTTGGGGGGGGGGAAATATAGTGCCCAAAACACAACAGAATACAATACTCAAAATGGGATCAAATGACTGGGACTATTACTTCTAGTGATTTGGAACTGTTTTTATTGAGTCTAAAATTATATTTGTTCTTTTAGAAATCATGTAACTAGAATTCTAGAATCTTTCATACATTCATACACTAGCTATCTCACCTGAATTGTAACTTCTGTGACTTAGGTAAGCACTTTTTCCCACCTCTTTACCCATATCCTAAATAAAAATGTTGAAAGTAAAAAGTCCAGAATCCTGTGACACTGGAGTTAATACTAATTGATAT